CCGGCTGTCCTAAATTTTATAAAATGTATTTCTTTAACCCGGAGATAACCGGGTTTATTTGGAAAGTTGCTCGGGATGTTTAGACAATAATAAAAGTTTCTGTTTGCTATTGTCTACGGAGGAATTTTTAAAATCGTGGCTAGGTTCGGTTTATTGTTTTTGGGCGTCGACACGATTTCTATTTGCGCGTCTATCGCGTCGAAGTCCGAGTCCGTTNGTGTTATTTATTGAGAAAAAAAAAGGAATTTATTGTATGTCGGCGCGTCACGTTGCAAGAAAAAGAGGCCCGTGGAGTCCCCAGGACGTAACATTGGTATCAGATAGCATTATTTCCATGTCTCGGATGTAAGTATTTTCGTCCATCGCAACTACCGTATTGCCTTTATCGGCTCTGATAAAGATGATAGAAGGATAACAGGAATCAAATAAGGCCGATACGAGCCATTCGCAGGATGTTTGTGCGGAAACTATGCGTGTACAAATATATATATATNTAAATGTAACGAATTTTACTTGTAAAATTTTTACAAGTATTTTTTGAATTGAAATCTCAATTCTTAAAATCATACGGGATGCTAGATTTGCATCTCACATATGGAAAATTCCGGATACCCCCCTAACTAATTTTAAAATATTGCAAAAAAAACTCGGCCAGGAGTCGAACCTGGAATNTCCGGCTTTCCGTGCCATCGCCTTCCCTGTTAGGCCACCGAGGCACTTGGTTTCCCCTAACAGGGAAGGCGATGGCACGGAAAGCCGGATATTCCAGGTTCGACTCCTGGCCGAGTTTTTTTTGCAATATTTTAAAATTAGTTAGGGGGGTATCCGGGGTTTTCCATATGTGAGATGCAAATCTAGCATCCCGTATGATTTTAAGAATTAAGATTTTAATTCAAAAAATACTTGTAAAAATTTACAAGTAGAATTCGTTACATTTATATATATATATTTGTACACGCATAGTTTCCGCACAAACATCCTGCGAATGGCTCGTATCGGCCTTATTTGATTCTTGTTAACAATTTCACGAGCGTCAAGTCTTTTTGATAGAAGGATGATGTCTAATAAAAGAAGTGGTGATTCGTAAGAAGTTGTTAATGTCATCGTCATAGTCTGTTTTTTAAACACGGAACATCTAATTTGTATAAGGATTGAAACAAACCTGCTGCGTCTTTCTATTTTTTTGTTATTAGCATGATGTTTTATGTTGCATTCGAAATTTTTAATTAGTTCAAATATTAATTTTGAATTGTTTGTAGGTGGAAGGCTGAAATTCTCACCTAATTGCAACAAGCCTATAACTTCGTTAAGAATATGAGTTGATGATGAACCAATTTTTTTGGTATTTTAATAAAGTGCTGGGTTTAGAGTCTAAATTGAGGTGTATGTTGATTGTGTGTGTGATCAAATCTTGAGGGAAAACAAAGAAAGAAAATTCAAAGGAAGAATGTATAAAAAATGGGTTCGAAGTAGATACTGTAGGTGGTTTTTTTCGGGTGGTCGCAATATATGTTAATATTCTATCTCGGAAATTGATCCTGTCATTTTTTTGTTTCAACCACTTAAACTTGTTCATCTTCCTTCTTTTTTCGTAATGGAAAATGTCTAATTTACGTAATTGAGTGTCAAAAAAATCGCTGTAACTATTATACGGTAACTTATATGTTATGGTTCTATTGGTTTTAAAAATATCATTGTATACGAGGTTGCGGTATTTGTACAGGTCTGTGATCTCAAGACGCAACATTCTGAGCGCTAAGAGTGAACGTTTGTTGTCGAAAACACATGCCAGTTTGTGATTGCGCAAAGTCACTCTTGGAAAACAACAAGAGCGGTGAAATGTTGTGGCAATAAATTGTGTGTTTTGGAAGAATTAAGAAAATTAATACAATATGTATCTTAACAAGTTCTCTGTATAAATTAATCCATTGTTTAAGTTTACTTACTAAAGACGATCCATACTGGATACGAATGAAGTTAAAAAAAGACATTAGATAATCAATGTTTTGCATTGTTGTTATATTTTTATTGGCTTGTTTATCTCCTGATATAAATTCACCATTGAACACTGTATTGATTTTCAGATTATTGTGTTTCTCAATGGCATTTGGTATTTTTTCCAGCACTGTGCTTTTCGCGTGGTTGAGAAAATGGCGAGGTTTGATATGATTTTCATTAATGATAGCACGTGTCATTATCCAACTTTCAAAAGCGGTGTCTATCTCTCGCCACGTAAGTCTATGTCCGGCGTCAATGTATACAAATTGTCTGCGCAGTGAAGTTTTCAAACTTTCGAGTCGAGCAATTCTAGCAACAAGCGATTGTCTGATTTCTACAGACAGTCGCAAACGCTTGTTCCGACTATGTTCTTTCAATAAGTCGAGACATTCGTCACATTGCTGCTCCCACGCGACAACCTCTTCTCGCGAATTCAAACGTGTCGATTGCTCCAATACATTACGCTCTAACTGTGCGAGTGTAGTTTCCATTTTGTCACTCTTATAACACACTGATTGATCATTCACTCTGATGTTCTAATGAAATATTGATTTCATGTAACGATTTCGTCTTTTTATAGTGTATTTTTTTACTGATGTTGTATTTTATTAATGCTAGATTTTTTGCAACCATTTAAAAAAAATGAAATGTAATAAAAAAAACTAAAATGGTTGCAAAACATAATTTTAAATACGTGATCAAATCGATAAAAACTGATACTCGACAAAAAACTCTACTGTTTGCGTACTTTACGAGCTATACATATAGCAATTTCATAATTGTTTTTATTTAACTTTTAGAGGGCCGGGATATGAGAGAGCATATCCGCCTTAGTAAAGTGGTAAAAAAGGTATCTTATATCATGGATTGACCATACACTAAGTGTCGATCATAGGTAGCGCCAATATATTGGCTTTCCGGTCCGAAAGAGATCGGCTCGCATATAAAATTTCTTTCACATCAATTTGGAAGTATAAATATGCGTTTCCGATGTGTTTTTCGACGTAAAATCCAAATCTGATGTCAAAATTACAATAAACCTGAAAACAACCCCTATACAATTACAAAAACTACCCTTTCTATCACGCAATTTTAATTTTTTTTAGTTGGAAGTGCAGATATATGTTTCCGATGTATTTTTCAATGTAGAATCAAACTCCAATGTCAAAAACACAATACACTTGGACATAACCCTTATAATATTACAAAAACTACCCCTTTCATCACGTATGATTTTGAAACACCCTCTTCTTTTGAACACGGGCTTGGGACCGTCTGTGGCAGAATTATGTTTCTTTTTTTTATTTTAATTTTTTTTATTTTTTTTTATTTTTTTGTTTTTCTTTATTTTTTTTATTTTTTTGTTTTTTTTATTTTTTTTATTTTTTATTCAATTTTGTTTTTTTTTGTTTTTTTGGTTATTTTCTGATTTTTTTAAAATTCTTTTATTGTTTTTTTTACTTTTCTAAATTACGACAATGATCGTTTAGTGTGATAAATTTCACAGCAAGGTTCAATACATAAAGTTTTACAACATTTTTTACACTCACATGATAATCGACTTCTCTTTGACGTGATAGCGTTTTCCATCATTTGAAGCTTGAATTTTTCTGGGGAAATGTCGTCCATTCAGTCTAAGATCAGGCGATGTAAATGATGAAACTTCTTGAGAATTTACTTGCAAAATATCCTTTACGACGCTCAATCAAAAATCAGGAAACAAAATCGCATTTTAAGTGAGCATCTTGAATAAACTGTGGGCATTTATCAACATCAAATCAATTAAATAAAAAAACAATTTTCTGTACCATTTTATACATTTTCTAATAGATTCTGTCAAAGATAATTGTCTGTCGATATCATCGATTTTACCTATATTTTTGTTATAATCCACGATACAAATGGGTTTTATAATATCTTCATTGGTTTTGTAGTTTTTTCTACCAGTTTTACAAAACTGGTGTTTGTGAATACTTGTCAATACATAAACTTCCTTTTTATCCATCCATTTGATTACCATCCAAGAATCGGTTTGGGCAACTTCTGTTTCACTACGATCTAGCTTTAAACTGAGAGTCGGCATTCCTTTACGATGTTTTTTTACAGTTCCACAAAGACCAGTATTTCTGTCCAGTGTTGTTGCGAAGTCGCGTTTTCGCACATGCGCACTGCGNTGCTAGAAGAATGCAGTAATGTACATACATATATATGCACGTAAATGAGGGGCACCAACATGTACAGTTTTGGCGGGATCTCGCAGTAGGTAGGGACTGAGAAGGTTAAAGAGCGTAGGATAATTTTAATTATAATAATTAATTATAATGATATTATTTTTGTTGCTGAGTTTATTTGTTTTAGATACGTGTCTCGAAAAGAAGAGATTTTGTGATTTATATATATAATTTAATATAATAATATAATATACTGTAATTGATTATGTATATAATTGTAAATATTCTTTGTAGTTATTTATAATAATTTCTTATATAACTTACTATATTTTATATTATATTTTTTATATTCTGTTATATATTATTACATTACTTAAATATTCAGTTTTGTTAAAATAAAAGAATGTATTTTTGTTTTTTTGAATACTGGTAAGGTTTTTGGCAGTTTCCCTTATCTTTGCAACAAATGTTGGTATTCGTGATTTCTGCTAAATAAAATATTAAATTAAATGTTATTTCTTTGTTTATTTATTTTTATTGTTTTTAAATCCTATGTTCTTAATATTNTTTTATTTAAATGTTATTAAAAAACTAAACAAATAGTATTAAAACATACTCCACGTGTTAATCATGAAAAAGTATTTGGGTCTTTACAGAACCTTAATAATGTCGAAGTTAGTACGGCAGTAATGCTACATTTAAAGGCGCATGCGCGAAAACACAGCTTTTATGGGAACCTAATTGGCTGTACAGTGCGCATACGCGAAAACGCGACTTCGCAACAACACTGTTTCTGTCATGTAAGTAGTCTGACAGTTGTAGAGATGTATATCAATTATCAGTGTATAACACACGCCCTTCGTTACAATAAGGTTGCATGAAATGTGCAACGATATCACCAGAAACGCCTAAATCAAATTTCTCATAATCAGTGTTTGAGCCAGTATATACTATAAAATCTAAGAGAAATCCTGTTTNGCAGTCCGCTAATTCAAATATCTTCATACCAAATCGGTGTCTCTTAAATGGTAAGAATTGTTTGAATTTTAGCTTTCCTTTCCATAAGACTAAACTTTCGTCAATGCAAAGCTTTTCACCAGCAATANTAGTATTACCAAACTTTTCTTTCAAATGATCTATCACTGGTTTNATTTTTTTCAAAGGATGATTAGAAACTTCTTCATTATTAGAAAAGTGAAGGTATCGTAAAATTTGAAGATATCTATTTTGAGACAGACTTTCGCCGTATATTAGAGTGTACAGCAGTAGATCTTGGCTCCAATAATCCTCTAGTTGCCCTTTTACAACATATCTCATGTTTATTGATAAAGCAATCATTATCCATAATTCGTCTTCAGTGATAGGAGTCCACGGCTTCATATGTACTCGATCCAGTTTGGGATTTTGTTCTTGAAAAAGATTGGTTTGTTCTACAATCAAATTTACAAGAAATGTATTAAAAAAATATTTCAAACATTCTAATGGAGTAGGTTCGTTTAGAGACACGTGATCACGNATACGTGCTTCACCAGTAAAAGTTTTTATAGATGGGTAAAAATAAGGATCATAGTGTACATCTGGTATATTCTCATCACGTTCGTTATCAAGTAAATCAACATCACAAGCAATAGTTCTGTCTGTAATAACATCTTCTTCAGGCTCTGACTCTCCACTACTCCAAGCTTCGTCATCACCTGTATTCATTGTATAGCAAAAGTAATAAAGTACGAGGAAGATAAAAAGTAACGGAAAATGTTGTATCAACACAAGTAAAAAAAATAAGTGTATCTCGAGCCTGACCTAACAGAGAACGCGAGGCAACAGGTGCTCCTACGCGCCGTTCTCACGTATGGCAAGGACGGACGACGATAAACGGGCAGACCTAATCAATAAATATATTTTTGATCTGCTATTCACAATTTTGCCAAATAGTTTTACTAGTAAATAGCAACTTCAAAAACCCTAAATAAAAATAAATTTGTTTATAATTGCAGCCGCACGCGAATCAAGCCATGCATTTGTTTTAGTATATCTCACATGAAAATTAGGGGTACAGAGTGAGTGTGGGAGGGACGGGCGAATTGACATTAAATAATATTAAAAATTGCTAATAATATTAAGAACATTAATATTTAATAAAAAAAAAAATTGAACAAGTTATTCTGGTGCGCCAAACTATTGATCTTCCGGCCTACTAAAGGTTAATACGCAGTCAGCAGTTTTGCTGTAATCAGCAAGTTTTATCTCATAAAATAGGATTATGTTACTTCAATACGTGATCAAATCGATAACATCTAATATCCAAACATGCCTACTGTGCGGAAAAAATTGTTCTCTCATATAAAATAAACTTGTTACTTTGATATGTAACCACTGCAAAAATAAGCGTGTTTCTGAGTCATAAATTTTTAAAAATAATTAAAGTAGACTTTCTCAGCCTTTGGGACTACTGTTCGAGGTAGTTAAAAAATAAATACTTAAATGCTATGGTGGAACGTTTCGATCATTTATTTGTTTTTGATCATTTTTAGCCACACTGACTAGAATACATAAAAGATTAAACACGAAACGAAAAGCAAAATACATAATAAATATAGAAAATCGCATATACACCTTTAATAAGAGATATCAATGTCATTACTGATTGTCAACATGCGAGAGAAGTCAAGCCGAATAAGCACAAACAACATGTCGTTGTAAAATCAAATGATCTGTGCATCGGTTTTGTTATCAAAATATATAACATTTATAACAAACTAATATAAGAGAAAGACATTAAATAGTAAAAGAAATTGTAAAACAAACAAAAATTTAAAATATAAAAATAAATAATAAATTTAGTCATGTGTCAAAATTTTTTTTTAAAACTAAATGTCATGCATCAAAACTAGAAGTCAATAGAATAAATGAAACAATATATAAAAACAAAAATAATCATAAGGTAACAATGAACTCACTGAAAAATTGGTTGATAACTCACAAAATCGTTGAATTCTCTCGCACCGATCACACGCAGCAACAAACAAGGCGCAAACATCTCGTATGACAAGCAAATGCGAGATACGTACAGTGTAAGAGCCGGTAAGGGGAAGGGAGTACAGGGGGGAAGTTTTTCTCGGAAATTTTTTCTTTAACTGCTCCTATTATTGCGCGCTCGTCTCCTTCGATCTCGGACCGTTGGCGGAGACCGAAGAAGAACGGCGCGCGATAGTATAGAGCATCAAAAAAAGACATTCCCGAAAATATTTCCCCTGGAGCCGCACGATATGGTGCTCCCTACTGTACATTCATGCGCGCACTCGCGCGCGCACACGCACACACACACATACATAGAAAGTATACCAACTTACTACTATTACATTTATATTATACTTACCATTACTTACCACAAATATAAATTATACTTATTAAGTGCGCAACTAAGTTCTCGCTGTTTTTTTTTGAAAATGCAACTTTATTGTGAAAAAATGGTTACAAATGAATCATTCAAAGTATTGCCCATCGGTAGCTACAACTTTTTCCCATCTTTCTGGCAGAGCTCGACTATCGTTACGGTAAAAGTGTTCGTTTTTTGAGGCTATCCACGAATCAAGCCATTTTTTGATGTTTTCATATGAGCGGAACTGCTGATCAACCAGACCATGTGCCATTGAACGGAACAAGTAATAATCGGACGGCGCAATATCTNGGGAATATGGCGNNTGNGGTANGACTTCCCATTTGAGCGTTTCCACGTAGGTTTTAACGGGTTTGGCAACATGAGGCCGAGCGTTGTCATGCAGTAGAATCACTTTTTTGTGCCTCTGCTCGTATTGTGGCCGTTTTTCGCGCAGTGCTCGGTTCAGTCGCATCAATTAAATTTGATACCGTTCTCCAGTGATGGTTTCGTTCGGTTTCAACAGCTCATAATAAATAACACCGACCTGGTCCAACCAAATACACAGCATAACCTTCGCATCGTGAATATTCGGCCGAGCCGACGACGTAGAAGCATGACCGGGCAATCCCCATGACTTTCTTTTTTTTGGGTTGCTGTAATGAATCCATTTTTCATTACCCGTCACGATGCGATGAAGAAAACCCTTCCTGTTTTGCCGCTGGAGCAGTTGTTCACAGGCGAAAAACCGACGCTGAACGTCCCTTGGCTTCAAATCATAAGGAATCCAAGTTCCTTGCTTTTGAATCATTCCCAACGCATGGAATCGTTTGGAAATGGCTTGGCGGGTAACTTCTAATGCTGAAGCAAGCTGTTCTTCCGTTTGGCATGGATCCTCATTAATGCCTCCAATTCAGCGTCTTCGAAGGTTTTTGGCCTTCCTTCACGCGGACGGTCGTCAACATCGAAATCACCGTCTTTGAAGCGACGGAACCAATCACGGCACGTTGTTTCACTTAGAGCAGCATCTCCGTAAACTGTTTGGAGTTCTCGATGCGCTTCAGCCGCCGTTTTCTTCGAATGAAATAAGAAAATCAACACTTCCCGCAAATGACGATTATTTGGTACAAAATCAGACATTTTCACACAACCAAAAGTATATGACGCCAAAACAAAATCACTAACGTGTCAAAGCAGTTTGTTTACCATATGTCTAAGCTTGGCTCGTGACGTTTTGGTTAAAATTGACCAGCACTTACTGCTGGAGCCATCTATTGACAAACAGCGGGAACTTAGTTGCGCACCTAATACAATATATCATACTTACAATGTATATATAAATTGTACAAATTTCTAAGTATAGTTGCTTTATATATGTTAATCACTATCTAATTATATAAGTCACACATAAATATGTTTTTAACCTTTCTGCGTACAAAATTATTTTCTTATTGCTTACCCTACTATATAAATTATAACTACAAAATCATAGTATAAAATGTTCAATATAAAGTAACCCGATGCTATAGGTAGAAAATTCTGTCATTCTAACATATTGTTCAAAAAGCTTTAAATAAAAAAATTCAGTTGTATTAAAATTCAAATATATAGAGTAAGTCAGAAGAAGATAGACCGTGTGGATGAGACGGACCACACGCACATTTTCGAAATTGTTTGTTAGATATGTATTTATTGAAGTTATTGTGAAATGTGTACTTCCAAGCAGGAAGGTATTTATATAAATCGCACTTGCATAACAGATGAATATTTTGTATCTTTAATTTCAAAGGTAGGTAAATATAAGGTAGTGTAAAAAATTCTAGCTCACTAATTTTTGTTTGTAAAACGTTCAATTAGATATATCTTTACTTAAGTTTTTCGACATATTCTATCACTTTGAGACATTTTTAAAGACTTTCTATGTAAGAATTGTCAAATATTATCTTGTGTAAAAATCTGCAGTGTAGTGTCCATTTATCCCATTTTTAGGAATAGATGGACCCTAGGAATAGAAGATAATCGAGGAGACTAGTTTTATTGGCATTTTCAGTATGCCAAAAACGTACCCGCAAATATGCATAGAAAAAAGACAAGCGGACCAAAGAACAATGAAAAATGTTATTTAAAAAAGAGAAATGAATAGAAGAAAATTGTAAAGTACACCTAAAACAAATATTGCGTTTTTGTTAAACAGTGTAAAGTACACCTACAATTCAATATAATACTATGTTTGTTAAAAAACAATTGGTAAACCATTGTAACTTGTATGTAAGTAAAGATCTATCTATTTTTTATATACAATGGTCCAACTTATTTACAGTGGTAGAGATAGATAGATATTAATGTTATAATTTTACATATTTCAATTTTTTTAAAAAGTATGATGTTCTTTGTTTTATTACTTCTAATAATCGTAAGTCCCCTAAATGTAGAAAATCATACATAAATGTTTCATTTGCTCTATGATTCATTACGTAATTTGAGTGTTAAAACTAAGCGGTCTTCATCTCTTTTAGAACAATAGTATTTTGTCAGATGTTGTATTTTTCTCAGATTAATGCACATAAATGTTACATAAATGTACTCATAAATAAATAAACCGAAAAGAAAATAAATAAATAAATAAAAAAACCAATAAACTAATCTGTTTTTTGTACGAGTTTACTGCTAAACAGCAGCAATTACATCTTGTAGATTATATTTTCAAAGCTCACTATCGTAACACATATTCTTACTCTTGTTCTTTAATAGGACGTTTCGATCACACTTTATTTTGATCTTCTTCAGCCAACTTAAAAAATTTATAATATATTGAGTACAATTGATTCGAACGTTAATAAAGTGTAATAAAATTAGAAGAGAGAAGTAATACAATCCAAAAAAGTAGAAGCATGAATACGCACCTTGATAATTTACAATTAGACAAACAACTGCTACATGTCAACAATGAGAAGAGTCGCTTGTCACATCCGTAAACTTAGATGTTTAAGTACTTATTATATCGAGTTTTCTTTTTCTTTTCTTATTCAATTTACTTTTTGTTACAATAGTCGGTAAATTACCAGCCTTGAATGTACCGTTGTCGATAATGTACCATGGTCGGTAATGTACCATGGTCGGTAATGTACCATGGTCGGTAATGTACCATGGTCGGTAATGTACCATGGTCGGTAATATACCATGGTCGGTAATATATCATGGTTGGTAATATACCGTTGTCAAAGTATTGTTATTAAAAAAAGTTGTAAATGCGCATTAATTAAGGAATCAGTACCGATTATTATGTATAATTTATTGTTATATATAATTCATTATACC